TGCAGCTGCCTTTCTGTCTAGCTTCACAGTGTGCTACTGTCTCTCTTACAAGCGACAAAAAACTGAGCTCGCACAGTGGTGTCCTAGTTTAATGTAGTTTGGTAACGCTGCACGTGCGTCTGTACAGCGGCAACTCTCTAAAGGCTGGATTGAGCGTCGCGTCGGTAAAGGACATCAGAAAGCTGGCAAGCACTTTGAGGACTCCTCAGTGCGTCTCGTCCCGCAAAGAAGTTCTCGACGGTCTCTTCTGGAAGAGCGAGCTTACTCCTCGCGAGCAAGCACAACTACAGTGGCGCCCTCGAGACGCTCAATCAGCTCGTTCGAATCGCGTTTCCCGCAGTTTGCTGCCGACGCTCGCTCGAGAAGATGAAGATCCAGGTGGCGCTGCAAAAGCGTGCGATGGACGCGATCGAAAACGGCGCAACAGGTGACACGCTGATATAGGATCAGAATTATTATCGTTTGCATTCAGCGCTTGTGATTCGTCTGCCTCGAACGTATATTTACTTGACGGTGATGGAGTGCACACTGCTCAACAGCTATAGACTTGTTTTATAGAATAGCGATAATCTAGCAATAGCTGTAACATGGTTTCCCACAGTTCCTGAAAAGTCTTGAATTTGAGGCGGCAGTCCTTGAAATAGTACTTGAATTTAGTAAATGTTGATTTTGTGCTTGAAAAGTGCATTGCAATTTCATGAAAATGTCCTTGAATTTCATTTGAAAATGTCTTGAACTTTCATGAAAATGTCCTTGAATTTCATGAAAATGTCCTTGCATTTTTAGGAAAGAAATTCCTTGGCCTGTAATAAAAAGAAATTTGTACATCATAATGGTGCAAACCTCAATAAAAATTGCCTGGTTAAAATGAGCTTACAAAAAGCTATAGAACCACGAATTAGGAAGCAGTTAAATGATGATCATAAATTTACTATACAGTCAGTAAAATCAGTCAGTAAATCAAAGGTATGCTTGTAGAAGTGACGAGTGTTTAGAAGGTTTTAAATTAATGTGATCGCAGCGTAAGTTTGTAGAGGTGACACTGTGCAGTGATTGAAGAATGGGGTTATTAAATTAAATCTAGGTAATGTTTTGTTCGTAGTATTGAATTCGATAAAATGTACTGATAACATGTCTTGAATTTCGATAAAATTGTCCTTGAAAAGTCCTTGAAAAGTCCTTAGGAAAAAATTTCAGTCGTCTGGTACGAACCGTGTGTAAGTTATGTGTAGTAAGAGGCTAAAATTTGCATGACCGTATCTACTCGACTGTTGCATGGATTCAACCGTTAATGGGTGCACACTGCTCACAACCATGAATTATTTTATGAGTATCAGAATCTAGGAATTAGATTTACAGTAAAATGTGTAAAGATATAATTTGTTACATTTATTGAAATTAAGTCTTAAATGTTGATATCATTACACAGGGAGGTACAGGAGGTTGGACATTGTTCTTGAAGCATGTGAAAACTTTGTAGTATTCTGCTTTTTTTTGGTTGACATTATCCCTATAATGCTATTTTACATTCCTGTTTGTTTTAACATAACAGTTTAGTACTTTCTATACTTATGGTGGTATGTTGCTTGACTTGATTAGCTTTGCGGTAAAGCGCCACGACCTGCACGAATCCGAAAAAGTTCCTGCTTGGTGCTTTCAAAGTCGGCCACGTGAGGGTCAGCTATCTGGAATGTAATACCTTTTGGATTTCTTCCTTCTATTCTGAATTTCATTGCAAAAAATGAATTAATTTGATCACATGACTTGAGAGGAAAACAGTAGCAAACATGAATATAAGACATTATTACCAGATGAACACACACATGCAACATCATGCGCATACATCGCGGTATATATATATGTATTATATATATATGTATGTATGTATATAGTATATATGTATGTAGTATATATATATATAATATTTGTCTACTGTAATTTTTTTCATAAAAGCATATGGATTTTTTTATATATAGTATTAATTCGTTTTTTTGTGCGTGGTACAATTCAGGGCAGTGGAAGCGATCTCAGACCTCATGCGGGATATTAGACATGCTAGAACCCAATAGAATGCTCAAGCTGGTACTATGACGTAGGTAAGCTGATTGCCCGAATAGTAAGCACTGATGTTTCATAACTATATGGTTGCTTACATAATACTAGTACGACGTATTACATGGTGTGTGAGTGGCAACTACTGTGTTGCCACACATTTGTGGGTGACACTGTTGTGTGTTGTCACTGCCGCGTGTGCGGTTGGGACAACTTATATGTTTGTCACACCGGCGCATTGTTTGACAGAGTCGATGTCACTTTGCAAGGTCGGGATAGGAACATGCTAACAACACACGTACAATGTTCGTGTGTCACGAGTGTGGGTGACACATTTTATTGTCACACCAACGATGTTGACACTTGGTCACATTGCAGGTGGGTAGGACGAGCAGCTTACTGCGCACACACGTACACGCCTCAGTGACACCAGTGCGGGTGACACGTTTATATTGTCACACCCAACATGGTTGACACATTGTCTTATTGCAGGTGGGTAGGGACGAGCAGTTGTTTGACTGTGCAGCACTATTACACGTATCATCGAGCGTGCGGCCCTGAGGCCTGGAGAACATACATGCGGGACTAGCGTCACGAGCTCCGGTCACCAGTGTCTCCTGCAGGAAGCTACAAGACGCGCTCAAGTGCTCTTCCGCAACGCATCGGCTAGACGCAGACCAACGTCCAGGCGTTGACCGGTCGCAGAAGCCGTCGCTCGTTCGAGATTCGTTCCCGCCGTCCATTTTCGAAACTCTGAGCTTGCTGGGCGACGATTTGCACGGGGTTGAAAGAAAGATTCGCGATCTTCTACTTAATGCTTAATTCGTATCGTGGTGTTTGGCTCGGTGTGCGTCTAAAAGCCAATTCATTCTCGGATCTCTACCTGAATTGTCGAAATTTTTATTATGGCTTGTTTACTCGAGTGCAATTATAAGTAATGCGATCTTCTAATTATAATATAAATTTATATCAGAGGTTAATTTACTCGAGTGTTGCGGTGATTTCGATCTTTCTGCTTTGCATTGTTTTCACGAGTGCTGCTATAAACGCCGGAAGCAGCGACTACCCACCGGCAGTATATGATTTGCTAGGCAACGTGATTATATGGGCGAAGATACCTATGGACATCTCAAGCCCTACAGGTGCATCTTCGGTCGCAGTACTGGCGATTCGTTTAACTCGAGTTAATCGTGCTACTTCAACATTCAGGTTCAGCATGCCGAGCAGTGCAGTTGCTTCTGGACAGTGCCTGAGACGAGAGGCACAACAACAGCTCGCAGTGCTTCTGAACAGAGGTGCACAGCACACGATCGGGGACGTAAATCCGCGCGTAAGTTGTCTTCTCACTCCGATTGGAAGTGACACTGCTTGTGTAGATTATAGGTCTGGATTTTCCCAGTGGACGCGGGTGAGCATGTTGGACTCGAACACTGCATTCATTCAATCATTCTTTCATCTTCCGACATCGTTAGATGATAACGACTAGAATGACAATCTCGACTGAACTTACCTATGCTACTATATACTACTATTACTATACTACTATTGCACTATATTACCTAATGTACTGTGTGATAGATGATAAAGACGTAGTTATCCAGACGCATTATGAGATGGATGCGAGGACAGCCCGTATGATTCGGTGAGTATAGAGAGTATGGTAATATAATGAGTATGTAGTTATCTCGCATGCGTTAGAGGAGACACACATCCCTCTAGGGTGCGGGACTAAGCGACTGCCTGCTCTCCCTCTAGGCGCTAACTAAGTGACTGTGTCTTCCCTCTAGGAGCTGAGTTACCTCGGGCCGTGCTGGGGCGCTCAAGCAGCGCAGTCCCCACGAACGAAGTTCATCGTCCCGCTCTTCAATGCAGGGCGCAATCGAGCCGCGCACGTCGCCGCAGTCTTGCGCGGCCTGCCGCTTTTAGGCGACAGCCTAGCTATTCTGCATGCCAACCCTGACCTACTGATGTGCATCGTCAAGGACTACCTGACTCTCCGCGCCTGGACAGGTTGAATCACACACTGCACCGGCGCGCGGTTGATTCGTCTCGTTCTTCGTGTATCACGCTGGGGGTTAACGCGCGGGCTGGAGTGTTCGCTGCTCGCTGCCGCAGCCCGCCGTAGGAGCTTTGCGATGAGGCAGTTTGCGCACTCGCTACTGCCCTGCTGGCAGCGGGTTGTCCTGCGCACCAGTGAATGAGTTTGCGCGCTCTGCTCTACCTGCTGCGGGTCAGTGTATTGCCCCGCGCCTGTGAGAAGTGTTGCGGCCCTTCTACCTGCTGCTGCAGAGTTTGCCGCGGCACTGCTGAGAGTGCGTGCGGCTCGGCTGTAGTTCCTAATGTCAGAGCTATCCATTAGCGGCTATGTCGTGCTTATCTCTCCCGTGACTGCGACTTTTCGCACGGCACGCGCGCGAAGACGACGTACACGCTGTGGTCTGAAGAACGTTGTATACCACAACTCAAACCGTGCGAGTAGCCCATCTCCACATATACTCAGAGCGTATTTGTTCGAAACTTTGTTACACCAATAAAGATCTTGGCTTTTGTATCAAATCCCAAAACCGATCACCTGTTGTTATCTATACTCACTTGGTGAGATTCTGGGCCGAGAGTACTCTCACACGGATGATGCACCTTTTGCAGCTCTTCACTATTGATGTATCAGTCATTATCGCTCCTCGAGATTTGTCTCTCATATTGTGAAGGAAACAGGTGCCAACTATTATGCATGTTCGGAGCAGATAAGCTACGCAGGTCGCGAGATAAAAAAACTGTTTTCGAAAAACTATATCATGATATCTATAGCCTATGTAGGGTTCATTTTCCCACACTATTGTAGGTGACTGTGTATATAAAAATTGCTAAAGGCGTTGAGTCAGAGTCGGATGAGAGAAAGAGAGAACATACTAATTCTCTGTTGACTCCGTGCGTTGTTTCTATACTGCTGTGCGAGTATTCACGTTCTTACATAGAGCGAACGGGTCAGTCTAGTTCTTATAAGTATCGCAAAATGGCACATGTCCACATGTTTATATTACGTTTGGTGGATATTCTCTACAAGTTTAACCTAAATTGATTCGATTCTAAACAAATTGTCATATGAATGTAAATATGTAAAGTGCAAATTGAACTGTCTCGTCTATGATACAGATCTATGGATGTGGACAGATTCAGTATTACTGTACTAATACTAGCAGGGTCCAGCTCTCCCTCAACGGTTGCAGTCAAAATCAGCCGGGCGCGCCCACCACGTTTTGGAGAATAACTCCCCCACGTTTCAATCGTTGCGGCCTCCGTCTAATTAACCTCCGCCCCTGATTTAAATATCCACCACTGGATAAACAGTGTTGACTCAGCGATCGTCAAGATTCCCATTCAACCAGCCCTATTTTTACAGGCGTGTATATTTTTACGGTACAGTATCAGAGATGTAACCGTGCCTACAATACGCATGCACTGCAGACCACACACAATTACAAACAGGTCAACCCTTGTGCATAACGCCTTAACCACAAACGGTGTGTTGTACCGACTCGGCTGTTTATATACAAGTACTCCTAAATAAGCCGTCTATGGGGTGGGGTGGTGAGGCTGTATAGGCGACAGTACGGGGACGTGGTCTTACAAAACAAAAGAACCAGCGTCTTGTGCCCGTCTGCGCGCCACCCCCTATTTATGTTGCGCGCATGGCTTTATCACTCACTGGCCCCACGTCCATACCATTTCTCCACTTCCCTCCGCGTGCTCGCACTGCCTTTTCAGATAATATTTTCCGCTGATTTTAATCGTAGTAAATTGTGGCTGAACCCTGACTAGTATTAGTAATGTTATTGTAGATTAGGTTGTGAGAGAGCGAATATGAGGATAATCTTAGATATGTCTAAAAGAAGAATAAATAACGTGAACAATTGAATATACCTCAATAGAGAGAGAGTAAGAAAGATGAAATACTACAAGAGGGAAAGGTATCTACCTGAGAGATACACCTACTCACAACTAATAAAAAAAAACTAATTTACTTCCAGACCTCGACGTTGCCTCAGTCACAAAGAGCATCTTCAGTTGAGTGGATCTAATTTCAGGGGGGAGTGGTCCCGCCCACGAGAGCACTGCGACGTGTGAATCCAGACTAGATATTGTTAGTTTGGTGCTTACTGATGCTATAGCATTCCCGCTCTCCCTGTGTCGCTGTCTTCCAGCCCTCACAGAGATCCTGTAACCGCGCTCCTCTCCGTGCCCAGTCTTCTCTCTGAGTTATTGTCGTACTGCGCTATGAGTGCTCCTGTTGATGCTTTTAGACACGTAGCACACGGCCTCCTCTCTCGTGAGATATACACCACACATCATGCCTGGAGCTGGACAACAGCACTCTCTCGCCGCACGCCCATCTCACTCATGCGCTCAGACTCTACCTGCAGAAGGAGGTGAAGTAGCAGCCTCCTCGGATCTCACAGTCGCTGGAAGGGTCCATTCGCTTACTTAGTCTACAACAACCTTCTGCCCCGTAAGTAGGGGTCACAGACTCTATTATGCAAGCCCCATTTGCCGCGGCGTGGAACCGTTAACTTGTCTAAACAAAACAATTGCTTTGCGTGGTGATGGTGCCGTTCTGTGAATAGCGGCCTGAGACTTACTATTCTTGTGCATGTTCGTTAAGACGCTCGAATCCTGTTTTTATTGCTATCTTTCTCAACCTGAAGCTCAACCGTGTCCAATCTATAAATATTTGAATCACGTAACAATAAAAGAAGTGCCTCTCTTTTCTCTCGGCGCACATAGTATCAGAGCACGTCAATTCATAAAACACACAACATACTACAAATCTACATTCAACTCGTAATATCTGAAGAACATAAGTGGATGGGTTCACTACTTATTTTGTATATCACCATTTCATTTATTGTTAATAATAACTTAGTCCAAAAATGCAAACTAAATATAGCGAGTGCGGTACGAATTATGTGCGTGAATGTGCCACAGCTGTGCCAGGGTAATCAGTAAAAAGATCCGCCTACCATTAGGAGCCAGACCCAATTTGTCTAAATTTATGTATTCGGTTTATTTCTTGAGGGTGCATTCTCTTTGACATCGCCCGTGTGCTGCGCGCGGCCAATTACTGGTATACGGTTCAGCCGGTAACAATCGCGCTGCGAGTAATGCAGTCGTCATTCACACGCAGAATAAAGAGAGGCATCGATCATACCACCCTGAATCAAAGCAGAGGCTCAGAAGAACTTCGGAACATTCGAGGACGGCACTAGAGACGCCTGAAGACTGCATGGGCCTCCCTTGTGGAGTCAAGCTGCATGCCGTGCACGATATGCTTTATTTCCACCAGACACGATACAAAGATGTATGAATTAATGAAAATGTTATTTAATGAAAATAATAAAAATTGATATAAAGAGATTGAATGAAAATTGTATATAAAGAAATTAATGAAATTGATATAAAGAACATTAATGGAAAAACTTGATGAAAGTAAGTGAAAATTTAATGAAAATTGTGAAAAAATGATTAGTTATAAATAAATGCGAAAGATCCTATCGTAGTTGGAATACCAATGCTGTCATGAATTCATCGTCGTGATTTGCTCACTAGTGTTGACTGCTGTGTAGGCTCAAGGCGATGTGTTGACTTAAAGCGCATTATGAGCTTGAGTTTCGGCCATTGTGTTTTCTCGAAACACAGGTGTAGGAGCTTATTCAGAAGGCATCGCCATTAATTATTAGTATGAGTTTATCACTTCATTGTTTCCATTGCTATATTGTCGGGCATATATAACATTATATACATGTTCTTCAATCTTGTGGGTAATATGACCATATGCTTCACAGGTTTCAGGACCGCAAGAGGTTCACCTAATAGCGATGCACTCCAATCCAGTGTAGCGATCGAGTCATTGTGTTCTTGAACTAAGGCGGACTCACATAGACAGCCGTAGGCCAGGAAGGTAAGCCATGTATATAGCGCGGTAGTTACTCCGCCCGGATAGATGTCGTAAATGTAAATCATCTGACGTGGCTTTCTAATTACAGCACGACAATCAAATTATTAACTTTTTGGCTGTTTTTTTTATTCACTCAGTGCGATAATATAATATTAGTTGCGGCACAGGCTGTGTTTGAACGGCACAACTGCGCTCCTATTAGATCTGAGAATTTGCATTGCTTACACTCCGCTCCCGGGCGTGTCTTTTTGTGACCTTTAGCCGGAAAGCAGCCAAGTTCGTGCAGGATTGCCTTTTAATGAGTTCAAGGGCACGCCAGAGGAGGTGTGAACGATCGAATGACTTGCCAAAGTGCCGACCTTCTGCGCTCGCTCGCGGACGACGTGTGGATATACTTGCCAATACACGGCTACGACACGCCCGATCACGCGATGCTTATAGACTGTTCACTATCGCTAGAACGAGTTACTAGTTAGTAAGACTACGAGCGGCGAATGAAAATTCAGGTTAGGCAAGAAGTGCTCCTCAGAGTTGTCAGATCAGTAATAGACGATTTTAATAGGAGGCTTGCGAAAGGATATGACTATCGGAGTATAGCGGCAGATGATATGTACGAATACGTACGATGCGTTCGTAACTGAGAGAGAGAACAATATATAACAATGTATTTATATTGTGTTGCTAAAGAACGTGTCTGGAAGAATTCAAAGAACCTGAGGTGACTACGACACACTGATCTCAATATGATCTAACATTAGTTAACTAGGGGAGTAGAAGGATATTAAGCGAAAGGAGGGAGGGAGGCAGGGAGGGTGTGAATATGAATGTGAAGATAAGAGCAACTTATTAGTTAACTAGTGATATATAGAGTGAGATTAGTGAAAGTTCTATATAGTTTTTAGGTTGTAGTGAAACTTATTTTGTATTTTGCGACGTGTGAGAGACGAGAGAGGTAGGGGAATGGGGAGTAGGTATGAGAGAGGGATAGGTGATAGTGTAATTTGCGGGATTAGTTTCTACGAGGCTTGTGGTGAAGTAAGTATTGAGGTAGAGGAAAAAATAGAGGCAAGGAGTAAGAGAAATTGAGGGGGTGCTAGGAACGTACTGAGATTGTTGGATATAAATAGAGAGGATTAAATCGAAATGGAAATAGAACAGAGATGATCCTGAAGCAATAAAAAAACTTAGCATGGCAGCATGAGGGTAAATGGTAAACATAAAGGCGAGATGAATCCATCATGAAATGCATTACTACATAGGCAGAATACCATTCTATGCATAGGAAAAATGGCGAGTATGCGTATTGAACATTGTAATGTAAGTATCTCAATATAAATATCGAGTATTGGGGAAGACGCGACGTGCGCTTTGATAACATCGATGACGAGCAGTACTACATAGGCAAAGTGCCATGTGTACACGTAGATATAAAGGGGGCATGTAAGCATGGGGTAAGAAGAAAGACAAGGGCATGTGTTTTAATTAGGCCATGATAAAAATATTGTTTGTTTGCCCTCACCCGACCGACCCGCCAAAAAAGGGGCCGACTCAAAAAATTGTATTAATTTTTTTTTAATAACAAATTGGATAACTGTACATTAAATATATCTGGAGGCAATACATTATATGTACCAAGCAAAACAAACATTCAACATAAAAGGTATTTCAAAACAAGCACACCCGAGCATGTAGACACCATGCTGAATTTGTAAAAAGACCCCCACCCTCAAAAAAAAGCCGGCCTACCTACCCAAACTTTTCAGCCTGGATCGGGTGAGGGCAAACAAAGATTATTTAATTGTGGCCTGACTCGGTCTGCATCAGGAACGTGGCTGCTGATGAGCAATACTACATCGAGGCTCGTGAGAAGATGGCCTACATCTACCTGCACCACCGCAAGGACAAGCGACTGTACGCGAGCTGCTATAGGGAGCTGGTGGAGAAGAATCCGACTCCACAAACATGCCTGCTGCTCGGTGATGCCTACATGAGCATTCAGGAGGTTGGTGTCAATGTCGTTAGTAAATATCCCTCACGTCCTACATGAGCATTCAGGAGGTTGGTGTCAATGTCGTTAGTAAATATCCCTCACGTCCTACATGAGCATTCAGGAGGTCGGTGTCAATGTCGTAGTCGCTATTGACTCGAAAGGCGTTTGTTTCATTGAGGAAGGATAGTAGGAGTTGAGATTCGGACTTGGAAGTGGCATGGGAAGAATTTGAGCCGTATTTGAATTTACAATCTCAGTGGTCTTCAGAGGAATATTGCTGAGGAAATGCCTGATATGCACCAATAAATCTTTTGGTGGCAGAAAGCATTTATGTCTATAAAAGTCTCAGACAATTATTACGTACTCGATGTAGCAAGTGGTATAGCTGGATTCGCAAATGCGGTATATTCAGGCTACGTAGTCAAGCCAAACGGTGCTACATCGTAGCTTACTTGCTGATTCTACCGTAAACTGGAACCTGTAAAGTCACTTCGCCCCCTATCTGTCAATGTTAAGATTTAACCGTCAGAGACCAGTTATGATCGCGACGTAACTTTGCCAACTGTTAGTAGATGGCTTCGTTCTTTGACTTGCGATGTAACTTGGGGGCAAAAGTAGATGTAATACCGTGTACGGTGCACCATGCGCTGAGGCTCATAAGGACTATGTCCCCCAGGGTACTATCGGAGGGTACCCTGGGTACGGGTTTGATATATCGGAACAAACCCTGCATGGTAACTATCTGATATGGTTAGGGTTAGGGTTAGGGTTAAGGTTAGGGTTAGGGAGTAGGTGTTAGTGGAGTAGGCGAGGTACGGTCCGGCATATTAGATAGTACAAGGGTACTTTCTGATATATCGAATCGTACTCAGGGTACCCTCCGATAGTACCCTGGGGGACATAGACCCTCTCAGCTGCACTGTGAAGCGTGTGTAGAGCAATTGTTTCGTGTATTGACTCGCGACGTGGCGTTTCAGCCCGAGAGAGCGATCGACGTCTACGAGCAAGCCCTGAAGACGAATCCCCGCGACTCTGCCCTAGCCAGCAAGATAGGCCAGGCTCTCGTGCAGACTCACAACTACGGCAAGGTACGGACGCTATATATATACATATATATATATATCAAGAGCGTATTAAGAAGGAGAGCGTACAACGGTGAAATGCTGAAACCATGTTGCAGTATTAGTCGAATTAAGAAACTTTGCCCGTTTTATTTTGACGAGTCTTTGCGGTATTATTGATCAGCTGTCCTGCCTTGCTAATATAAAACAAACCGCTTGTCCCTACGATGCCCCTATGCTGAGATAATGAGCGGTGAAAATCTGGTATTTTTGCCGAAAACCGACTCGAGATCCCGGTTGGCTGCGACCCTCTCTCGCTTTGGGATAGCTTCGGGATAGCTTCGGGAAACCTCACGTGTTTCCGTCAATGATTGACAAATAGAATGAATGACGTCTGTTATTGATTGCCATAGTGATGACCCCCACTTGTGCCCACCTCACGCTGGATGTAGTAAACTCTGTAGTACTGACGTAATGAGTCAGCGCTACCATGGCGCTACACAGCGGCGACCGGAAGCAATACACTGGCCACAAAGCGAGAGAGGCATGGCCCATGGCCCATCGAGCATTCGTGCGAGAATCGAATGAATGGAATTGCAGGAAATCATATCATTTCGTAACACTTCTATGAAAAATTATTCGGGGTAGTGTACACCATGCTCGCAAAGGAGCAATCAAGTCATAGAGGGGGTCACCCAGTCATGGGGAATCACTGATCTAGCTTATCGATTAATACCACAAAACCATAAGGTTAGCGACGGACGAACAATCCGTCGACTGTCATCCCGATCAGGCTCCACAACTGTTTCACATCGTAGGAGCATCTCCTCTCACTGCATAGTGAGAAGCGAGAAGGCAACTTGTGGCTAGCGACGAACTACCTTGACGAGGCTCCCTGGCTGTTTCACGTCATAGTAGCCTCTCTTTTTGCCGCGTAGGTCAAAAAGAGTCTCTTCTTGTCGCGTTGTAAGCCTTCTAGCGAGGTTTCTTGTGGCTGCTAGTGGCGTACCTGCTCTTTCTACAGGCGATCAATTACTACGAGAAGGCGTTGCAGTCGGGCAACAAGAACTACCTGCGCTACGATCTCGCTGACCTGCTGCTCAAGCTGCGTCAGTACGATCGCGCTGAGAGGGAGCTAGAAGCCGCATTGACACGCGACCAGGGAGGTGAGCGGCGAGGGAGAGGGGAGGGGAGGGGAGGGGAGGGGAG